AAAGTTAAGGGAACATATTGATTTTTTTGCAAAAGTATGAAAGTTTTAAGGACAATTAAGTTAAAATATTGTTGTCGGAAGGATTTGAATCCATGTAAGTTAAGTTAAAAACCAAAATCTCATGTTTTCTCATTTTTCAAATTTTCAAAATAATTTTAATGAAAATACTGAAAACATATTTTTTATGTTTTCATATTTTTAGTTATTTTTATTTTGATTTTCTAGAAATCATTTTCTAATTTTACAACTAAACATATTTTCTTCAATGTTTTCTATTTTCTAAGAAAATGAAAATGAAAATAGTCTATATTTCTTAGAACCAAACATAACTTTATGTTTTGAAGTTAATGTTATTTTTAAAAAGAAAATATAAAAAAATATTAATATCGATCGTAATTTTTTCTATCGAATCTCATATTGATAAATTAATAAAAATATTTTTGAAAATTTAAAACTAAAAATTACATAATATGATTAATAAATTTAAGCATTTAATTTTAGTTTATGGTAAAATTAATAAAGAACTTAAAATTAGAATATACATATATTAAAATTATTGGGTCAAGTCGAGTATCCAGTCATAAAAGTTTCAATCCAAATTTGACCCAACTAACAGAGAAAATCCGGGCTGAGTACTCAGTTCGACCGGCTAATCTTTTTTAAATTACCCTATCAATAAATCAACATATTATATCAATCAAATTAAGTATTTTTTAACACCCTACTTGAAATCAACAATTCTTCCATTTATATGTTTAGAATTCGTAAAAATTAATATTTTTATATTTTGCATGTCACAAATGATTGAAAATAGATAATTTTAAAGAGGTTAATTGAAGGGTTTTTTCCCCCATTAAACCATGTGAAAAATATAATTAGCCCAATAGGTCACATTGGATTTTATTTTGTAAACTACGAAAACAAAAAATATTTGTTAACGGTCTCAAGACAGTGGGTCTTATGTGAGTCAATATTATAATATATTTTTAAAGACTTGTCATGTCGATGTGATGAGTGTCATGAAAAATATTTTTTAATTCATTAATTATTTTAAAAATAAAAAATGAGTCAATTATATAATTTTTAAAGACTTGTCATGTCGATGTGATGAGTGTCATGAAAAATATTTTTTAATTCATTAATTATTTTAAAAATAAAAAAAATTAAAAAAAAAACTTCGAAACTCGTTACATCGAGGTGACGAGTTACCTTGAAATTTAAAAAACTAATCGTTTATAGCCGTTGGATAACGGACAACAGCAACGGTCAGATTTCAATGGACATTGGAACTCGTCACGTGGAGGTGACGAGTTCCATGGAATTTTTGAAAAACATAGTCGTTGGGTTTGGGGTTATAAATAGTTGTATGGGTTTAGGATATTTATTGTGTATTGTTAAGAAAAAAATTGAGAAAAATTGTATTTTTTGAAGAATTCCTAGAAATGTCTACATGGTATGAAATGTTAAGCCTTGAAGTTGTCCATATTTCTTTGCTCGAACTCATTGCAGAAAAAGAACGGGCATTAGGCAACGAGGAATGACACTTAGAGATTCGTATCAGTGAACTGTTATATATCTACAACAATCCATGTTGTATTTTGTTACATTTCTACGTGGTTTTAAGGTGTACCTGACATTAATACTTTCCATTTTTTTCGAGTGGTTAAGCGACGATTACATTGCAAGATGTCGCTTGCCAACTCGGTGTTCCAGTTAATGGTGCGACACTAGTGAGACAAATTGATTTCAACCAAATTTGCAAAGGGCAAGAAAGCATCACCATCGACATCTTTATCTTTTGTTTCTGCATCTGTCGAGTATTTTGCATCTCAGACCAATTATGGTTTTTATCCTTCATATCATGCTTTAATGGAGAGTCAATCAAATTGGGGTTAGAGGTTCATGGGATGCAATGCAAACAAAGCACTCAAACATTTTCGACAAAATATGTGGGTGAATGAGATAATATTATTTATGGTCAACAAGGTATTGGTGTCTGTGGCCAATTCAAGTCAATGACGACACTAATGACGTCAAATACCTTAAGTACTCCATCACCTTATTTCAAAGGTGGATCTGAATGTGGAGTAATATTCAATACACCTCCTGCTGAAGAAGAAAACGAAGATGAAGACGATTAAGGCGGACGACCAAGACGTAGTCGATGAGCCCCACACCATTATCATTCGACCACTTCTCGGCATCGTCAAGAATTACAAAATATAAATAAATTTTATCATGTATTGTATTAGTTTGTAATAACTTTTATTATAATTTTGTAATAAATCATTTTACAAACTACTATTTTCTAAATTAAATTCAACAAAACACATTACATCGATGTGACGAGTATCAATGGTCTAAATTTTTAAAATTTAAAAATTGAACGTTGTCCACCGACTAGTTTTTTTTTTAAATTTCATGGTAATTTGTCACCTCTTTTTTAATTTTTTAAATTAATTAATGTATTTAAAAAATTACTCTCCATGAGATTCATCACGTCAATGTGACGAGTCACTAAAAACATATTTAAATTTGTCACCTTATTTTCATTAACGATCCATTAAACATAAATTTACCTTTTCAAGTTTTAAGATATTCTTATATTAACTAATATACACTCTCGGATTGTTATTAAAATAAGGGTAAATAATAAATTTCATCCTTAAATTTTTTTCTATTTTACTCATTAAATTTAAATTTTTTTAATTTTTGGATTTTTGTCAATTTATCGTTAAATAATTAACGATATTAAAACAATACTATTTAAAAAAGATAAAATTTTCATCAAAATTACATCATTTTTTTTTATCTTTTTAAAATTTAATCTATAATGTCGTTAGTGAAAAACTAGAGAACGAGACAGGTTTAAAAATTTGTCAAGGAAAAATCCTATCCAACGCGCACTTTCAGCGCGTGTTTCGCCCTAAAAAAAACCATTCAACACCAACATTAGAAAAACAGAGATCCCAAATCTAAAAAAGAAACACAGAGATGCATATACATCTAAATTCTTCTGTACATAAAATCTAAAGAAAAAGAAGAATGCGTTATGCCTTAGAACAAAGTGATTACAAACCAGATCTCTCATCTACTTTTCAATGACTTGGATCTGTTGTTGCTGCTGCTTCCTCCATTTGCACTTTTTTGCGGGGAAGAAGATGAAAAGAAGCCAAAAACCGATCCTGATTTCGACGATCCTCTCAAGGGGACGACGTTAAGAACCGGAGCCACTCTAACATTAGCCGAATACGACCTTTCCATAACCCCTCTCTGTTTGAATCTCGAACCGCCATTGAAACTACTCGGACTGCTTGAACTTCTTTCCAGACTTTGGAACATGATTTACCCAGATGAGTTCATTCTGGGACTATCACTCCTTTGAGTCCCACCACCGCCACCTGGTGTTTGATTGTTGGTATCGGACCCTGAACCTGGTTTGGGATTAATTATCCTCATCCTACTAGGAGCAAAAGGGTTGGGGCTTGGGTGGTTGTTGAAACTCGGTTTATCGGAATCAAGTGATAGCCTTGGGAGATCTTCGAGTTCATGGCTTGAAGATGAAGAAGAAAACCACAACCTTGATGATGAAGATACAGGTACCGGCTCAAAGTTATCTGAGTCTTTCAACAAGGGAAGATTCAATGAAGAGTCGGTCGTTGATGGTTTGGAGCTTCTGTTGAGAAAATGCTTGAGAGACTTTTGGTTATTATCAGAGTTTGGAAGTTGATTGTTACTGTTTTGAACAGATTTTTTAAGACCCAGAAATTCCCTCCACGTACTTGAACTCCTTGTAGCTTTGCCGGAAATCTCCGGTTCTACTTGACGGCGGCAAGATTTGGGTGTTTCTTGAGACGAAACCTTCACCGGGGGATTTTGCTTTGAGAAATGTAAAAGGACGAGCTTACCATCTGAAAAAAGCTCATCAGCTGGAAGCATGGTGACGGGATCTTCTTCAAGCCTGAACTCATAGTCACCGGCAGCCGTCGCTTGAATCTCCGGCGGATCAGTTAACCGACCGCATGAAGAGTAAGTCGGTGTAGGCTTACTCTCTGAGGGCGAGACGCTGATGTTGTTAACACAAGCGGTAGCCATGAAATGTAGAATAAATGGAATGAGAAAAAAGATTTTGTGTTTGAAGCAGCTCAGACTAAGAGGTTGGTTTTGGATTCGGTTTGACTTGGATTTATTATTACTTTAGGGTTCGGGAGGAGAAATCGGATCCGTCAGTCTCTGGATAACTTCCAACCATAACCTCCATCAATTATTATCTTTTCGGGTAAATTATTTAGATGGTCGTTCAATTTTAAGATAATTTATTTTAGTATCATTTTAATTTACTCACTAGTGAAACTTTTCATTTTAGTCAACCAAATTCCCTAGCAATGTTGGTGGTAAACTATCCGATTGATCATCCAAATTCTAGTGTGTACTCATTTTGGTCATGCTCTTTTTTTAATCTTCTACTTGTTAAATTCCTTAACAGATGTTAATACGATCTTTGATAAAATAAAACGCACTTTGACCCATTACAATGAAACCCATTTTTATTCATCTTTATTACCCTATTTTCTCATCCAACCCCACCACATATATCCAGTTTCGTACACAATCCATTTTATCAACCATTAATATAATAATGTAATTCAGGCCAAATAATTTTACATTTACGAAGATTCAAATATCAACAACTCTCAAAATAATACACACACACACATATTTATGCATGCATGCACAAGAAAACAAAATATATACTAAGAAAATCAACCAAATCAAGTAACGAGACATGGGAGTTAAAGAAAACACCAGAATTAATTAGAAGAGGACATTGAAAATAAAATAACTAATGTATGTCAAAATGATTCTTAAACTCAGAATATTTCACGATTTTTTTGAAATTTTAATTTGAAATCGGTATCGACCTTTGAATTAGGTTGAATTAAATACAATAAAAGATATCTTTAAAATCCTTCTCCTTCTCTTTTAATATTTGTATTTATGTTATGCTATTTATTTCAGGATAGGCTATGGGAAGCTGTTGACGAAGACTGGCTTCAATGTCTTAGTAACTAACCTGTTGAAAATCTTCTTCTTATTCCTTCTGGAGTTGTCCAAGTAAAATTATTTCTTTTTTATAATTATTTATGTTCATGATAAATTCAAATAATTAATGTTATCTATGTACTTTTCATGGTAGGATCATTGGCCTGCTTCGCTTAAGGAGTTCGTTCTTACTTTGAAATCTCTTGTTTATCCTCGAGAACAAGCTGACTTGAAAAAGGTTAGTTTCTTAACTCTCTTTAAAAGCTTTTATAATTGAGCTTTCGGTATTTCTTTTTCAATTATTGTGAAAAAGGTTGATAGAACATAGTAATAAAAGTGATTAAAATGAAAAATCATGTTGATCTGGAAATGAGCAAATCAATAAATTGTAGCCCGCATAATTGTTGTTTATGAAAGTAGAATTCAGATTTTTCTTGGAGTGCTGCAAATCAAATATTCCATCAGTCCTTGGCTTTAGGAAGTAAAAAGAAAAAAAGTAGCAAAATTAAGCTGAAAATTCACTCATATTGAGTATTGACATTCATTTTCATGTTTGACCTCTCCTGCACTACTTATTAAACAAGATTATTTATCGTGTCTTCTTCTTTTTCCTTAGAAAAGCTTGAACTATACTTCTCTGGTTCTTGTTTTACTAATAAGTGTCTTTTTCTTTTTCTACCCATTTTTAACATTTCATTTCCGTCTGCTTATCATGCCCACCCCCATTTATTATTTCTCTGCTTCTTTTCTCCAATAGGAGCTACCCAAGTGAGGTCCACTTTCTCGAGTAAGCATTTGGAAGGAGCTGTTTGTAAAGAAAGTACTTATAACGCTGGTTTGTTGTAGGTATTTCCCAACTTCAATACAGCAGCACTGAATAGTGTTCTTGCTCAAGGGATGAATTTAAAGAAGAAACATGAGGTATCTATATTTTCTCAATTTTGGAGTTGAAATCCTCTCTTTTTCCCATAAACAACAACTTCCCTATGTGACATGTTCTGCACAAGAGCAGATGTATGAGGTTACTTTATTTTTTGTGGTGAACAGGTGGAAGTTCTATCTGCTATTGTTAGCTCTGTTGCAAGTGCTGTGAGAGCTAATGCAGTAATAGATGTTGGTGCCGGTCAGGTGGAAGTTCTTCACCTCTTGAGGATTTTCCTTTTCTACTTTCTATTTGGATGATGCTGAATTTGTGGTTGAGACTGTTTAATTGACATTAGAATAGAAACTTGCCACATCTCAGAATCTAGCAGCAAATTGATGCAACCTAAAAAATCAATCAAAACTGATTGACCTGTTTTATTTAATCAAATTTGGAATTAATGAGTAATTCCTATTTTGTACTAGGTTTATTAGAATTCTGAATGGGATTGCTTTGTGATGGGCATCACTTTTTTGCAACTATTGCATTGCTTGTTTCCGTGTTCTGGGTCAAAGAGGATAGGGACATGGGGTTGGTTCTTGATTTGCGATTTTCTCCCTTCTTTTATATTAACAACTTAACCATGACCTATCACAGCAGTACCAACATTTACCTGTTGCCTTTAGTCTTACTCTTTCATTTTACTGAACCACCTAGCAATTGGCATAGTCATATCTTTACTAGATTTTGTGAAAACTATTTCAGTGATCCCAAGTATTTTATCTTTATGAATTTCATGCCTTTGACAAAGCCACTTCAAACTTGAAAGCAAGGAAAAATATCTATGATTTCCTTTTCAAAGACCTGTACTTGTTCTGATGGTGATATCAGTCTCACTTAGTTTATTTGGCAATAGCATTTCCTTTTAAATGAATCACTCAACCAACTTGACAAGGTGACCTCTTTATTGCAACTCCAATACTGATGTTTCTGAGCATCATATTACTTACCTTTCGCATCCCTAATTTTGGACCTCCCATTAGGATCTGCACCCTTTTGTTGACTCCGGGGAGCAACTAAAGTGTCAGTCCTACAACCTGCTTCTCACATCAGCTAATTCTGCTTCTTAGTTTTTCTTACACACATGGGTACAAACCTACAGCTACAAGGTACACAAACAGTGGCAGACAAAAATATCTATGTATGCAAGTATATTTTTTTCTCTTGCATATCTTCATATGTACTGCTAAATGCTACTTCAATAATGTTTAGATGACATGCATTTGAAAAAAGTTTTAGGACATTTTGAGTTTCACAATGGAATATTTGGATGTTTGTTCCCTTTGTTTCTTCACAGCAACACTGTCTGCTGATTAACATGGTTTTCTAGGGTTATCTTGCGCAACCCCTTTGTTCCCTTATATATTTTTTTTCATGCTGTTGTTTACTTCACTTGAAACTATAGACATGGTTCTTTCTAGTGATTAACATGATTTTCCAGGGTTATCTTGCTTAAGTCCTTGCCTTCGGGTACCAGCATTCTTTTGTTGCGATAGATGCATGTTCCCATCATGGAAACGTTACGAATGCTCGTGCAGAGCGAATTAAGAAGCATTACATGGCTCAGATGCGGAAACTTGGGTATGTTAGGGAGTCACATTCCTTTATCTTTTAACATGTGCGTGGATTTTATTGTCACAATTACACTTTCAAGTTAATCGAACCTCTACTTTGACAAGCCTTACACTTGTTGACAGATTGCACATTTTTCTGTTAGATCAGGAAAAAAGAGATTAAATGTGCCCCAAACAATTACATGCAACATAATGTCCCTGGAAACGTTGAAATCCTTGACCACCTTGTCGCCGCATGAAGCTGATGTTGTGCAGCCAAAATCGATTGAGCAAGATCTTGAACTTGGTTTGGCAGGCAATGGGAGTTCCTTAGTTTTGGCTGGCCTTCATGCTTGCGGAGATCCCTCAGTAACAATGCTCAAGTAAATGTCAAATTATGTTTGTAAGCTATTATTTTCCCTAGCCTTACTACTTGGATGAATGATGATAATTGTAGAAGTCATCTTAAGAGTATGGGTTCAACACTACACAGACACCGACACAAGAATTGCTAAAAAATTAGGATACTGGTATAATAAGACATGGCAGTTAAAAATAATTTTAATAATAAAGGATAAAAATCTTGTCAAATTAGGAAACATTGAACTTTTAAATTTGGAAACTCTAGGGAAAGAAATGTCATTGTTGGCTGGAGCATTTGATACAGGAGCCGCAGTGCTGGGGCCGTGAAGTTTTGACAGCAGGTGGGGCACTCAGTGCAGTGCCCTTGCTTCAAAATACTAGGGACAATTGTAGGACTGCTGCAACGCCCTGCTTCAAACTCTTGCTTTGCGTTCCATTTCACTCCCAAATGTTGCCATTTGAATCCGGTCACCTAAGTGCTCTTCACTTGAGTTGTAAGGATCTGCTTTGACTCGGTTTTAGTATCCTAAACAAAAATCAACCATTTACTTGAGTTTTTGCTCAAAATAATAATGTGAAGACTACAGAATTTAAATGGTATAAACTCAACAAAAACTAAGTAAAATTAAAATTAAATCTCTAGAACTTAGCTAATATTTAGCTCAAAATAAGATTAAATAACTCTCTGGAGTTATCAAGTTACAAATACTCGTTTCAGGCATCTTTTTTTGTTGCTTCATAAAAACCCTCAAAGAACAATGTCAACTATCATTCTTAAGTGGTGGTGATAATTGCAATGAAACAAATAACATACATAGTTATTGCTCAATGTTCATTGTTCGATTACTTTTTTTCATATTCACTTTAGTTCTACGGTTGTAGTTGGTTAATATGTCTAATTTTGTATCTTTAGAAGATCAAGATACATAATGGATACCAGTTAGAGGTTTATGTTTCAAACTTGTAAAATAATGTTTATAAGATTAGAACTTTAACCTGAAGACAAATTAAAGAAGAGTAAAAGACTTCTCAACTGACATTAATCTCCAATTGATTACTAGATTTACTTTTCTGTGTCAAAAAATGCAGTAGTCAAAAACTATGAAGCATTAACATGGACACTGGGTATGACCATAACATGACACGACACAGTGACGTGGCTTTTTTTAAAAATATTTTTGAAATATATATATAAATAGATTTAATTATTTTAATTTTGCATACAATAGTTTTTATTTTACATTTCTTAAAAAAATCTTTATTTTTTAAAATTCTTTTTATCAATCAAACTAATATTTGATTTTAGTGACTTTGTATAGTTTTATTTTATGGAACCTAGAGCTTAGCTTAGTTGGTTAGTACAAGTGTACATCCATCCTTAGGAGGTTTGGAGCTCGAATTCTAGCTGCCACTGTTTCACTAGTAATAGGTTACAACTTCTTTGTGCTTAAAAAAGAGTTTTATTTCATTACAAACATTGTATTCTTAAAATTATCTTAAGACCCGGACCCATATAATTATCAGTTACTCGAAAGCCCAAGAAATAATCTTTTTTCCATTCGGACTATATTATTAGTAATAAGAATGTCATTTAGGAGTTGACTATTAGCACATTGTTGAAGCCCGAATCTATGATTCTTAGCTCAAAGCTGAACTGAAGTTATGAAACACAAACCAGAAGGTGAGGAAACCAAAAATGCTTTGATGCCTATTTAAGCCTAAGGAGATTTCATTTCATTTACTTGAAAGTTTAAAATGTGCATTTAAGGTTCTAGAAGTCAGACTTGTAGAATATTCACGTGTGAATAGTGTAAATAGAGTAATTCTTGTAAATTAGAATAGGTTGTAGAAAAGATGAGATTATATTTCCAAATATCTAGTTGATGATATTTAGAAATTTGATTGCTGATTTTGTTTAACTTTTCTAGATTAGGCTCTATTTGTAACATATAAACATGTATTATTGTTTATCAATAACAATCAAGAAATACAGAGAAAGCTTCTCTGCACATACTACTATTCTACATGGTATCAGTTTAGATTTTTCTTTTTCGATCCTTATATTTTTTTGTCTCTCTTTCTTTTGCCAACCCCTATCATCATTCTTTTCACATAATGACCATCATCGATTCAACAAAGCAACGAAGAGGCAAACCATGATGTGATTATTGCAAAAAGGTGGGTCACATTCAAGACCAATGCTGGAAACTACATGGAAAGACAGTCGATTGGAAACCTCCTCAATCCAGAGAGGAAAGGGAATCACAATCACACCTGGTGACAACGACATGGTTAAGTAGTTTCACCAAACAACAGATGAAAGATCTTCAAAAGATGTTTGGCCACGTGAATAATCAATTTGTAGGTATGGTTCAAAATCAACATTTATCACCATGGGTAATCAATCCTGGGGCTTCTGATCACAAGTATGATACTAAAAGTCTATTTCAAAGACTACATCCTACATCTTCTCATACTCTATAAGAATAGTAGATGGCTCACTTTTCCCAATTGAAGGCAGTGGTTCAATTCACATTAATAAGGATATTTTTTGGATTATGTCCTCTATGTTCCCAATTTAGCGTGTAATCTTCTTTATGTTAGCAAATTGTCTTAGGACCTTAAATGTGTTCCTAAGTTTGGTTCTAAATCTTGTGAATTGTAGGCAATGGACCCAGAAAAGGTTATTGACAATGCTAGGTTGTATGGTGGGCTCTATGTTCTTCATGGTCAGCACACCAATTCCAACAAGTCTTCAACATCAATTTCAGCTTATAACTCTAATACATCAAGTGATGTTATGCTTTGGCACCTTCGATTAGGCCATCATAGTTTCTATTACCTTTAAATACCCTTTCCTAATTTATTTGTTAATAAAAAGCCAAAGTTGTTTCGTTGTGAAAGTTGTCAATTTGTCAAACATACAAAAAGTTCCTATTTACCTGCTTCTTATAAACCTTCACTATCTTTTTCTCTTGTCCACAATGATATTTAAGGCCATTCTAGATGAAGAACATTGATGGCAGTCGATGGTTCTCGTCTTTCATCGATGACCACACTAGAACCATATGAACCTATTTGATGAAATATAAGTATGACACTAAACATATGTTTAGGTGGTTTCACACTATGGTCGAAACTCAATTCAACAAAAAAAAATTAGATTTTGCAATTTGATAACGAGGGAGAGTATTTCACTAAAATCTTAGGGGCCTATCTTAGAGACAAAGGGATTATTCACATCACTACTTGTGTTGACTTCCCACAACAAAATAGGATAGCAGAGAGAAAAAACGACATTTATTAGAGGTAACCAGATCCTTGTTATTTTTACATTTTTCTTAACTATTTTTGTGTTACTCTGTGAACAACTACCTACCTTATCAACCAAATACCTTGCAAAATATTACTCTTCAAAACACCTTGGTCAGTCTTTCTTGAGAGATTTCATTTCTTCAAACCAATGTCCTCGAGTCTACCCTTGAAAATTTTTGGTTGCGCCACATTTACTCATAATAATAATCCTCCACGGTCCAAATTAGATCCTAGGACCATAAAATGCATTTTAGTGGGTTTTTCTTCACTAAAGGACTACAAGTATTTTTATCCATCCACTACAAGAATCTACATTTTGTAGAAAACAGAGTAAGTCTGTTATTTTATTCTTATTTCATTCAGTAGAACATATTACATATTTATATAAGAATTTTTCCTCTAAACTAGGAAACTCTAAGTTAGGAAATATACTAATCCTAGGAGATGTAATCCCTAGAAACAATGGAATGAAAAACAGAGAATAATTATAGAATCTCTTAAGTTAAGGGATTGAACATCTTATTTCTATAATTCCTACAACCTTATACTTACATAACCTACACTCCCCCTCAAACTGGTGTATATATGTTGTATATACCCAGTTTGAATGACAACTCATCAAAAGTCACTCGTGGAAGGGCTTTGGTGAAGATATCTGTCAGCTGTTTCTTCGTCGGAATGTACTGCAGTTTTGCAACTCCATTGTTGACCTTCTTATAAATAAAATTTTTTTCTATCTCAATGTGTTCCGTTCTATCATGCTGCACTGGGTTTTTTTTCTATACTCATAGTTGATTGACTGTCACTAAAAATCTCAAAATTTTTCTTATCATCTAAGTCCAATTATGTGAGCAGTCTTTTAATTCACATTCTTTCATATATTCCGAGAGCCATTGCTCTAAACTCTGACTCAACACTACTTCGAGAGACAACAACTTGTTTCTTATTTCTCTAGGTCACCAAATTACCCCAAATGTAGGTACAATAACCACTAACTGACCTTTTATCAGTTAATTCACCTCCCCATCTTGCATCCATATAAACCTTAACTATTCTGTCTTGATTTTTTTAAAATATAAGTCAAGCTCCCAGGGTAAACTTCAAGAACCTTAGAATTCTGTTAACAGCTTCCAAATGTTCTTCTCGAGAATCACTCATATGTTGGCTGACAATTCATTGAGTATGTAATATCAAGCCTGATCAGTGAAAGGTATATCAACTTTCCAACTAACCTTTGGTAGGCTTCCTTGTTTACTGGATTTCTAGTCATTTCCTTGCAAAATTTCAAGCCGGGCTCCATTCGAGTTTCAACTGGTTTACAGTCGAGCATCCCAGTTTCTGTAAGAAGATCCAAAACATACTTACGCTGGTTTATGACCAGCCTTTCCTCGGACCTTGCAACTTCCATACCTATGAAATACCTCATACTCCTTAAATCCTTGGTTTCAAACTCCTTTGCAAGATTCATCTTTAGCTTTTCTATTTCTTCTATATCATTACCAGTTATAATCATATCATCTATATAGATAATTAGGAGGGTTATCTTACCTCTCGATGTAATTTTTCTGAGTAATGTGTGATCCGTTTGGCTTTGCTTGAAACTATTTTGTGTCATAGCCTTAGAAAATCGATCAAACTAAGCCCTGGGAGACTGTTTTAAGCCATATAAGGATTTATTAAGCTTGCACATTGTTTTCTTAGTGACATTTCCTTCTAATCCGGGGGGACCTCCATGTATACCTCTTTTTCAAGGTTCCCATTCAAAAAAACATTCTTTATGTCCAGCTGATGCAATTTTTAGTCCATGTTAACAACTACTGATAACAATATTCTGATGGTATTCAATTTTGCAACCGGTGCAAAAGTCTCCTGGTAGTTAATGCTATAGGACTGAGAAAAACCTTTAGCAACCAGCCTTGCCTTGTATCTTTCCACGCTCCCATCCGAATGATATTTCACTGTGAATATCCACCTGCATCCAACAACCCTCTTCCCTTCTGGCAAATCTGTCAAACTCCATGTCTTATTCTTTTACGACGCTTGTATCTCCTCTTCCACAACCTTTTTACACTCAGGAGATTGAAATGCTTCTGTCACTTTTCTTGGGATTTTCACACTGTTAATACTGGCAGTGAAGGCCCTGAAATTAGATTGTAATTTCTCATATGCAACATACTTATTTATGGGATGAGCAATGCATTTTCTTACCCCCTTCCTAATAGCAATAGGAAAGTCATCAAGATCAACAACAGTAGCCTATTGGGAACCATCATGACCTAATATTTCAGCTACAACAGGATCCAAATCTGGTTCTTGGCAAATGCTAGGCTGATTGATTTCTTCAGCAACAACTTTTCTTCTTGAGTAAACACTGAGTTGCTTTGGTTGGGGAGTTATGGTTTCAAGGTCATTGTTAGGTGCATTTTTGGTAGTGGTGGAAGGTGTTTTGCAAGGACTAGAGTATTGAGATAAGGAGGAATGTAATTCATTAGAGTTATTTAGGTTATTCCCATCACCCTCACTAGGAACTGGGACAATGCTAGGCTATTGTGGAGAGACAATAATAGGTAAAGAAAAGATAGGCTGTAAAGAAATATTGGTTTGAACAGGCTGAAATTCGTTGTAACTCTCCCCCTGAAATTCTGTTCCTAAAAAATAAGGTTGATTTTCAAAAAATGTAACATCAAAGGAGACATAGGTCTTTTTTGTGGAAGGTGAGTAACACTTGTAACCCTTTTGACTCGAAGAGTAGCCCAAGAACACACACTTTATGAACCTAGGATCTAATTTCCCTCTGTTGTGGATATTAACAAAGGTTGTCCACCCAAACACCCGAGGAGAAATATTTGATTTTAAATGTTTAAAATGAGGAAAAAGCTGAAACAGAACCTTAGTAGGAATTTTGAAACCTAAGGTCTTACTTGGCATTCTATTGATGAGGTAAGTGGCTGTAAGAAGAACTTTTCCCCCAAAGATACTTAGGATCATTAGAAGAAAACATAAGAGACCTAGTAACCTCTAGAAAATTTCTATTTTTCCTTTTTGCTACCCCGTTTTATTGAGGTGTATTGACACAAGAAGTAAGGTAAACAATTCTTTTTTCCTTAAAGAAATCAAACACTCACTCCTATTGTCACTCCTTAGAATTTTGATTTTTGTGTCAAATTGGGTTTCAATTGTTTGATAAAAACTTTTAAAGGACGTTTTAAACAGGATAAAGAGAGATAGAGAAGTAGAGAGAGAAAAGGTGAAAGGAAAGTCAGCTTTCGATGAGGTCTGGATGGTGTTTATGGACAATGTTAGTATGAGAGTGTCACAATGTGCGTTAAGGGAACTATTCTTAGGCCATGGTCTTGTTGAGAGAGTTTTCATTCCCAAAGAAACAAGAAACCCAAAATACAAATTCTCCACTTTTGCTTTTGTGCAGTTTGGGAGTGAGGCAGGTTTGAAAAGGGCAGTAGATAACTTAAATGGTTCATTGATAGATGGGAAGAGGATTACAGTTGGAGCTACAAGATATAAGGAAGCTCATTCAAGGACAGGGGGAAGAATAGTTCTTTGAAGATGGTTTCAAGTCCGAATACAACAAAAACATCAAAGTCAAAAACGATAAATGATATTAGCAGGAGTATAAGGGATGATAAAACTTATAAAGATGCATTACTGTCGAACAGAATGAAAAGAAGTGCTTTGGGAAATAGGGAGTTGTCATCTGATGGTCTTCACAGGGGGAAAGCTAAGAAAAACATTTTGGAAATACATATTCTCTCTGAGAGCTCGAGTTGGGTTAAAAGGTCATTAACGGGGATCATTAAACCTTCTTTTGAGTTAGAGATAGTTTAGAATGCATTAATTAATGAAGGTTATGATGTCCAGATTGCTAGATGGGGTTATGTTTGGAATTCTTATGTAGTAACTTTTAAATCATCTAAAGAAATGATGGAGGTATGGATGAAGAAGAAAGATGAATTAGAATTCTGGTTTGATCGGTTGGCACCATTATTGAATAAAGATGGAGTCCCAATGGCTTTCTGCCTGGTTGAGCTATTTGGGCTTCCTCTATTATGCTAGAACGATCCATTTTTGGAATGGGTAGCAAGGAGATGGGGAACAGTGATAGACATCCACGATACCACTAAACACAAGGAAGATCTCACGACGGTGAGAATTTTAATTAGGGTGGCTAGCCCTTTTGATGTCCCAGAGGTGAATACTCTTGGATCATATGGAAGATCCTTCAAAGTGAGTATTAAGATTGGATTGGTGCATGAGTCTTTAAATTATTTTTCCAGCAAACCTCCGATGATCAGTTCTGATGGGAGACATTTTGGAGAGTTGATGTCTGAGGAGGAAGAAGACAGGGAGTTGTTAGAAAGTGAGGAAGGTTCAATAAGATTAGCATAAAAAAATTGACAGAGGGTTGACAAGTGGATTGACCAGGGAGCTGCTCTCAGGTTTGGTGGAGTTGGTGGGGAACAACATTTTCCAAGGCTTACCAAAGATGGAAAATGCATTAAAAGCGGGCTGTCAGAAATTCAGAATGTCGGGAGTATCAAAGTGGGGGAGTTTGCCGGTTTGGGAATTAAAAATTCAAAAAATTACGGTCGATGGGTCATAGGCCCAATCAGAAGATAATGAGCAATCCGGGTTTAAAGTTTTAAAGGTAATTCCTTATGGGCCAGCAATTAAAATTAACAAGTTTGGGAAAATGATTTAGAATCTAAACCCGGTTGAGCCTGGCAGTAAAAAGAAAGAAGACAAGGGAAAGAGTTCCAATTCAAAGATGTCTGATCGGGATGGAATAGAGGTTCAAGAAATTAAATTAATGTTATTAGTGTCCAATACAGATTTTACAAGAAGTAATTCAAGGGGTAGATCGTTTTATCGGTCTAAAAGCTCGTTCTCTTCAAAGAGTGAACCGATAGAGAGGAAAAGAATGAGAAGCTATAAAATGGTTTATAAAAGGTCTAGGGAATGTACATAATTTTATGACTGAAAGAGATGAAGCTTTAGTCATAGAAAAGGGTAATGACATGACCTTAAGAGTAGTTCAACAAGTTAGTTTGACAGTAGATTTGAATATTCAAGGATGTGAGGAACCTACTAATGGCAGATGTTCAGTTGATAGGAGTGTGGATAGGGAGTTTGAAGGGTGGTTTTAAGAAGGAGATGGTTTAAGTTTCAAATATGAATTTTTTAACAGAAGAGCCAAAAGACTTCTGTTAAGGGAAGCCCTAGAACAAGTGAGTATTACAACAATTTCCTCTTCAGGCTTCTCGGATATCTTGGAGAAAGCTTTAGCTACTTGGGAAATAAGTAAACTAATAGGGTTTCTTTTAAGCAGGGGAAAACAACCTTTTTGGAAAAAAACATTAATTTGGAGAAAGGCTTGAATGTGGTCAATTAAGGTGATTTTTATGGGGGTAATCATATTGTTTATTATTTAATGATAAAGGCAAAGTTAATCATTGTTTCATGAAATGTTAGAGGTTTGGGAAGAAAAGAGAAACAAAGGGTTGTTCATAGATTAATTTCTAAGATCTATTCTTCTTTTATGTGGCTGCAAGAAACTAAATCGGAGGAAATTCAGAGATCTTTTCTTAGAAGAAGTGGGTTGAATAATCTTCAAGGTTTTATAGAATCTCCAGCGGTTGGCTTCTTAGGGGGTTATTGTGTTGTTGGGATGACAATATATTCGAGTTGGAAAACCAGTACATTAGTAGAAGATTTATTGCTATTTCAGGAAAATTTTGTTCTAATCAAATTAGATGTGGACTCATTAATGTTTATGGTCCTTCAGTGGAGGATGAGAAAGCTAGATTTTTTGAAGAGTTAAGCATGTTCATTAGTGGACAAAGTCTTCATGTTTGTGTGGGAGGGGACTTTAATATTTACTTATATGAAGAAGAGAAGGTTGGTAGAGCTCAGAACAGAAATTCAATGGGGATCTTTAGTCAGTTTATTCTATAAACAAGTTTAATTGATCTAACTTTGAATAGGGGTAGGTTCTCTTGGTGTAATAACCAAGATATCCCCACTTTTGTAAGACTGGATAGGTTTTTGGTTTATGGTCAATTCTTGGTTGCTTTTCCTGATATTGTTAAATCGTTACTTCCCAGGTCTGTGTCAAATCATAATGCTATAATTCTTGAGAATGGAGGAGTTAATTAGGGTAAAAAACCTTTTAGAGTCTTTAATTATTCGATGGATAAAGACGGTTTTGAGGAATTGGTTAGTTTTTTAATTCAAGACTGCAAGAAAAAACAAAGGAAAGCTGGAGTTTTGAGTATTCTGAAAAGAACGAAACTAGCCATAAAAAATTGGGCTGGGAAGATAGATCAGTTTCTAGGAGCATTGATTATAGAATTATAAAGGAAGATTCACAAGTTAGAGGAGGATGTCCAGAAGTTACAAGGTGTAAATGACAGTGAAAAAACAACAGAGTTGAATACATTTCGAACAGAATTATGGAGACTTTACAAGATAGAGGAGTATATTTGGTACCAGAATTTGGGTAGAAGATGGGGATCGTAACACTATATTTTTCCATACTTGTGATTCAATTAGGAGAAAGTGGAATGCTTTGAATGCTCTAAATGTCAAGGGAAAGATTATTCAAGACTCGACTGTTATTAAGGCCACCGTCAGGGATTACTTTTTTAAAACCTTTAACGTTCGGTCTACCTTGGAAGTGGAAGATATAAGGTTGAATTTTTCTAGAATTTCCTTGGAGCAAAGTCTACTTTTAGAAAAATGAATTTTCAGATGAAGAAATTTGGAGACATTAAAGTCGTGCGATAGTAATAAAGCTCCTGGTCCAGATGGATTAAATTTGGGTATTTTCAAAAGGTTTTGGCATGTCCTTAATGAATACATTATGAAATTCTTCCATAACTTCTACTTGGGGAAAGAATGTGAACATGGTATTAATCACACTTTCATTACTCTCATTTCAAAGGTCTCTAACATTGGTGGTTTAGATGACTATAGATCTATAAGCTTAGTAAGAGAGTTATATAAGATCCTTTATAAGTGTCTTTCGAGGAGGTTAAGAAGTTGCATCAAATATATCATCAATTCGACACAATTTGCATTCATCCCCGGTCGTCAAATCTTGGAGTGTTCTCTTATTGCTAATGAGGGAATAGATTTTTAGAGGAAAAAAGGGATCAATGGTTGCATTTTTAAGGTTGACTTAAAGAAGGCATATGATACAATTGATTGACCTATTCTGTTCAAAGAAATGGAGAAGATGGGCTTTGGTTCCAGATGGTGTGTTGGATAAGGAAATGTGTAACTACAACCTCCGTTTTAGTATTGGTCAATAGGGTTCCTTCTGAGGAATTTTCAATGGCAAAGGGTCTTCAACAGGGTTGTTCTCTGTCTCCATTGTTGTTCAATTTAGTAGGGGAACTTCTTAATTTATTACTTCTAAAGACAGTTTCAGATGGGTTATTTTCTGGATTAGTTATAAGTAGGGAGGATGGGTCTTTTAATTTAACTCATTTGCAATTTGCTGATGATCTTATCATCTTTTGTGGTGCTTCGAAGATGCAGATTTTGAATGTGAAGAGGGTGCTTAGAATGTTTGAAGTTATTTTTGGACTTCATTTGAATCTAAAAAAGCAAATGTTTGGTATTAATTCGACTAAAGAGGAAGTTCAAAAGAAATTCTTCAGCTCTTTGGGATCCGGTGGTTCAAAATTTCTACAAGAAACTTTCTGGTTGGAAGGCCTCATATCTTTCATTAGTAGGGAGACTGGTATTGGATAAGTTGGTCCTATGCTCGCTTCCTACTTATTTTTTTTCGTTGTTTAAGATTCTAGCCTCGGTTTACAAAATCCTCAATTCAATTTGTCTAATTTCTTATGGGGAGGGGGCAATGGTAAAAACAAGATACATTGGGTTAATTGGACCATTATGTGTAAACCAAAGAATGAGGGAGGCCCAGGTGATCTGAATCTTAACATGATGAACAAAGACCTTTTAGGTAAATAGTCTTGGAGGTTTGCTAATGAAAAAAACTCTGTTTGGAGGAAAAATATTTGCAGCAAATATAACATTGATTCATTCTTATTATCGTTTGACAACAAGGTTCCTCAAGCTTCTTGGATTTGGAGATTGGTGGTGAATAACCATTTCAAAGAAGACCCTTTTGGTTCTAAGTTTCGAAGCATGTGTAGTTTTCAAGTTAGTGATGGTAACTTCATTCGGTTCTGGAAAGATGTTTGGATTGTGGATTATCCGCTTTTAGTCATTTTCCTAGAATGTTTTCTATTTCCTCAAACAAGATTGGCATATTATTTGAGTTTGGTGAATATCAATTTATGGGCTGGATTTGGGATGTTCAATTGAGAAGAAATTTGAATGATTGGGAATTTGAACAATGGTCTAACTTGGTGGTAGTCATTTTGAATTTCTCCATATCTAAAGAATCCAATAATGGTCTGATATGGAAAGGCACTGGGGATGGTGTGTATTCAGTTAGCTCTTGTGTTAAGTTGTGTTCTTCGGGTTCGGAGGAGGTTCATTTTTGGAAAAATATAATTTGGAGGGGTATGCTACCTCCAAGAGTGGAGACCTTTGTCTGGCAAGTTGTTCTTCAGAAGCTGGCAGTAAAGACAGAACTGGTTAAAAGAAGGGTTTAGGGTATTGAAGATATTTTATGCCCTCTTTGCAAGCTGGTGGAAAAGTCTTCCTCACATTTATTTTTTACTTGTTATGTTGTATGGTCTTTATAGAATAAATTTATGAAGTTTTGGAGGCTCAATTCGATTTTTCATGCAAATGCTAAGAGCTTTCTCCTAGCCTAGGATGATTTGAAGACCAACTCTGCTATCTGGTCATTTATTCTAGGGGTTGTCCTCTGGCCCACTTGGAAAATCAGAAATGTTATTGTGTTCAAAGGGGGAAGTTAGACCAAACTGAATTATTCTTTTTAGCAAGGTTTAGGCTTGCTTCTTGATTCTTAGCCAAGTATAAGGAGATTTTTATTCCTAAGGATTCTCTTATCTCTGATCCTTCCTTAAGGGATTATTGTTCCTCCTTCAATAAACTGATTATATCTAAGATCCCTTCGTATTCTCCTCCCAAGGGTTTCATAAAATTGAATGTAAATGCTACTTCTACCAGCGACTGGAAGAGAAGTGGGTTAGGTGGAGTTCTAAGAGATGATTCTGGTTCGATCTTAGGTTATTTCAAGGAGTCTTCTGGTCTGGGTCCTCCTATCTTGATAGAGCTTAAAGCTATTCAAAAGGGTTTATCTTTCTTTGTCTCTTTTCGAGGGCTTATCAAGGATCATTTAATTATTGACATTGATAGTAGGGTGACAGTGGGTTGGATTAAGAAGGATGAATTATGTCCAGACGTGTATACTTTTATGGTTAAAGACATAGTTAATAGGCTTAAAGTTTTTAAGGGTTTTATTAGATGGGTTGCTAGGACATCTAACCTAGAGGCTGATGCCTTAGCTAAGGCTGGAATAGGTTGACTTTAGTGTTGTTGTTTAGGGATGCTTATTGGTTTTCTAGTTTCTATAAGGGGTTTTCTGGGTGTTGTATTTACTATGTACTTTTTTTGTTATTAATGAAATTTTAAGGCATTCTTTTCATCCTTCCGCTGATTAAGGAGCTTCTCTATTAGCTCCATTAATCACGAAAGGGGTTTTTAACGAGGCCTTCTATTCTTATCAAAAAAAACTTTTAAATAGAGACTCAACCTCAGACTTTTCTCTCATTAAGAATACCCATGTTTTCATAGAGTAATCATTTATAAAATACACAAACCACTTATACCCAGAAATACTTTTAACAGGAGAAGGGCCCCAAATATCACTATGGATGATGGAAAAAGGTGTTGTTGGTTCAAATTTGGCTGCAATATATGGTTTTCTGGTGTGTTTGGCTATTTGACAAGTTTCACAGGATAACAAAGATGGATCTTTATTTATAAATAAATTTGGTAATATTTTGGAAAGATAGAAAAAAAACTAGGATGGCCTAATCTAGAGTGCCATAACATAATTTTATTGGTATTGAGATCAGAAGATAAAACTGGTTTTGTAAGAGCACTGGATTGAGATACTCTACCTCTAAGGGTGTACAATATTTTACCCAGCCTAACACTGCCAATCACCCTCTTCGAGCCATGTGCCTGAAAAATGCAACCACCAGTACCAAACACAACATTGCAACCATAATCTTTAATTAACTTGCTGACTGAAAACATATTGCATGCAAGTCTAGGAACATAGAGGACATTATGAAGTAGTAGATTTTTGTTTAATGTAACAGAACCACTCCATTTGACTGTAGTGAGAGAGCCATCTGTTATTTTGATAGAAGCTGGTAAGCGGCTTTCACTATATTCCTCCAAGAGATCAATATTTCCTGTCATGTGATCTGATGCACCCGAGTCTATTATCCATTGTACCGAGGAAACATATGGATTATTACCTTTATTAGCAGTATAAGCCACCTTGGTAGGCTTGGCTGTCATACTGCTCAAAATCTGTTGCTGCTCCTCTATCTGTTTCTTGCTAAAACTGCTTAAGGAATTAACTTGAGAGGCAATATGGGCCTCCTTTTGAAACCTGGATCATGTGGGCTGCCAATCGGCTAGTTTTATGTGTAGATTCCAACATTGATCTATCGTATGATCTAGTTTCTTAAAATGTTCACACCAGAGGCGATTTTTCTCTACTGGTTCCTAGACTTGGAACTGGTGACAAGTGTTGAAGCATCGAAAATATGAAATCTGAAAATCAGATTGAGAGGGGATGGTCTGGAAAGTGATTTCAGATGCTGAGGGATTCTGATTAGCCATGGAAAAAATATAGTTAAACAGGAATTGATTTAAAAAGAAGCGGAAATCGAATTGATCGTTTTAACCTGATGCATGTAGAAAATAGAGTAAGTCTGTTATTTTATTCTTATTTCATTCAGTAGAACATATTACATATTTATACACAAATTATGCCTCTAAACTAGGAAACTCTAAGTTAGGAAACATACTAATCCTAGGAGATGTAATCCCTTGAAACACGGGATTGAAAAACAGAGAATAATTACAGAATCTCTTAACTTAAGGGATTGAACATCTCATTTCTATAATTCCTACAACCTTACACTTACATAACCTACACATTTCCATGGACATTACATTTCTTGAACATGTATTTTTCCCCAAACTCAAAATTCAGGGGGAGCCATTAATAGAATTCAAGCAGTTGTTATTTGAACTACAACAAACGCCATTACAACATTTACCTAAATTGTAGCATACTTCATTAAACCCCTTATCAAGGTACAACAAACCCCCTTATCTATATCAACATAATCCAATAACATAATACCTCCAAACCCCTTACCAGTAGTAGAAAAAAAAACCTCCAACGCCTCCAAAACCATCCAGAAAATATTATTTCACCAAAACCTAAAACTCCTTCTATTGAAGGAAAAAAGCTACGCGTTTATTAAAGAAGACATAAAAATGTTTCAGAGGTCATTATACGGCATATCACTTGTCAAGAGTTATCATCAAGTTCAATTTCTTCTGCAAAAAATAAGGTACTAGAGGTAATTTTCCTACTTTGGATATTGATTTGCCTATTGCAAAGAGAAAATGTGCTAGGCAATGCACAAACCATCCTATAGAAAGGTTTGTAGAATATGGAAAACTAATGCCTTCATTTATAGCTTTTTCAGCTAATATTAATGAATAAAAGTTCCAACAACAATAGAGGACGCACTTGATGATCCCAAGTGGAGAAAGATAGTAGAAGAAGAGGTTGAAGCTCTTGAAAATAATGGGACTTGGTCCACTACTAAACTGCCGCAAGGGAAGAAGACTATACGTTGCAAATGAATATTCACTATCAAGTATAATTCGGATGGTAGCATTGAAAGGTACAAAGTAAGACTTGTGGCTAAAGGGTATACACAAACCTATGTAATTGATTACAATAAAATATTTGCTCATGTTGCTAAACTCAACACAGTGAGGGTTCTCTCAAGTCTTGCTATTAATGAGGAAGTGGAGTCATCACCAATTAGATATAAAAAATGCCTTCATAAACGGCAAACTAAAAGAAGTCTACATGAAGAATCATCTAGGTATGAAATGACAGTTGAAAAAAGAGGCATTGTGCAAACTAGAGAAGTCCTTTTATGGACTAAAGCTATCACCAAGGGCCTGGCTTGAGAGGTTCACCACAGTTGTTCTAAAGAATGGGTTCAAGCAGTGTCAAGAAGATCATACATTATTTATTAAGGTAATAAGAAATCATAAACGAGTTATTTTAATTGTGTATGTAGATGATATCATTATAACTGGAGATGATGTTTATAAAATTGAAGAGTAAAAAAAACTACTAAGCATGGAATTTGAAACTAAAGACTTGGGAGACATAAGGTATTTCTTAGGTATGGAAATGGCAAGGACTAATGAAGAACTTGTAATCAATCAAAGAAAGTGTGTGTTAGATTTATTGTCTAAGACTGGAATGTTGGGATGTAAACCAACTGAAACACCAATGGAGGCAAATTTGCAATTTGGGAAAGAACTGGGAGCTCGGGTGAACAAAGAATAATATCAAAGGTTGGTTGGTAAATTATTTTACTTGTCTCTTACAAGACCTGGTATAGCCTTTTCTGTTGGCATAATTAGTCAACATGCGGCTGATCCAAGAGAGGAACACCTCGAGGTAGCTAATCGAATACTAAGGTACTTGAAGTGCACAACTGGTCATGATTTAATGTTTAGAAAAACTAAAAATTGAAAAGTTCAAGTTTTTTCCGATGCAAGTTGGGCAGGAGAATTGACTAGCAGAAAGTCAACTAGTGGCTATTGTTCATTTGTGTGGAGGTAATCTTGTAACTTGGAGAAGTAAAAAGCAAACCGTTGTGGCAAGAAGCAGTGTTGAGACTGAATATAAAGCTCTAGTTCTCGGAATTTGCAAAGGAATTTGTCTTCAAAGGCTACTAAAGGAGTTGCAACTAAACAAAAAAGAAAAATTTGAGATCTAAGTGACAGCCAACTTGCCATACGGATTGCCAAGAATTCAGTACACCATGATAGGGCCAAACATGTTGAAATTGACACACACTTCATCTCATAGTACATAAATGGAGGTGTGGCAGAACTGTCTGCTGTTTCTTCGAAAGGATAGCTTGCTGGCGTATTCACCAAGGCACCACCAAAGGTTACCTTTGATGCAATCACATCCCAGCTAAGACTATACAATGCATACATGCCAGCTTAAGGGGGAGTGTAGAATATTCACGTGCGAATAGTGTAAATAGAGTAATTCTTGTAAATTAGAATAGATTGCGAAAAATATTGGATTATATTCCCAAATATCTAGTTGCTAATATTTAGGAATTTCTTTGCTGATTTTTTCGAACTTTCCTAGATTAGGCTCTATTTGTAACCTATAAAGAGGTATTATTTTTATCAATAAAAATCAAGAAATACAGAGAAAACTTCTTACAAGACTTGTATTCAAAAAAAATCTTTTTTTTTGTTAAGAGTTGGGTAGTTAACCTTATACAAGCTATGACTGAGTTTATTTATGGTTTTAAAAAACAATTTTGTTACTCTTTTGGTCACTCTCAGCTTTGCTTCAAACCTTCAACGGTCAAATAATCATATTCACATGAGACATTGAAGTTGGTTTAAGGATGATGGCCAAAAAATGAAGCTGTTTCGAGGGTAGCATCTGATACTGTCATGGTTAAATGTTTAAAAGTAGTTACTATTTACTAATGCACTTGAAAATATGATTATATATACTGTGGTTTATAGGATATGCAAGGTAGTAGATGAACCATTTGCAATCGAAAAATACATTTTTAGTGATAGTGCGATAAGTTGGACTGTTTCTTTTCTTGAGTTTGTCAAAGCCTATTCTTGACATGTTAAGGGTTGCTTCTGTTGTTTCTCCTTCAGTACTCCATACATGACATTGTTAGTCATTGGATGATCTTATGAAGCCATTTGTTGTAGGTAGGACCACCAAAAGCATTACCCATCATAGAATACTATCTTAAAATGTCATTTTTTGAAGCTTATATGGAGACTATAGACTGGTATTATAAATGGTTAAGGTAGGAGGAATGAGCTTCTAGCATGGTGCTGTAAGTTCTTACATGATTTAGTACTATAGCAAGATGAAATTACGGTGATGCAACTGTCATAAGATATAGTTTTTATGTGATCATGACATTGAGTAATATTTATAGAATGGAACCATTGGGAATGAAAGACTGAAAGTGCAAGCAATGAAAAGAAAATAGTGACCTGAGGCTATTTGGTGGATTTTAACTTTCTTGAAAGAAAATTTCAAGTATATAAGCAAAAAGGTTTTCTGTAGTGTATACACATTGATTGTATTTGATTTCATATTTGTCAAGTCTGGTACAATTCTAGTTCTACTTCTTATACTCTTATGTTGCACTTCAGTAATTTCATTTTGTTGATTTCTGTTTTGTGATGCAATGCCGAATTATGTTTTGAAATGTCAAGAGTATCATGTCCTTGTTTATTTAGTACTTGAGCTATAGAATGTTTATGTAATTGATCAGGACTCTTTTAGAGTAGCATTGGCTGTTGCTACAACTTACTATCTGAAGAAGGGTTTGAAAATGATCGCATCCAATATGGTTTTCCAGTGAGTTGCGGTGTAAGGAGTGTTAGCTTGTCTCTTGGAAAAAGTTCTCGTGATCTTGCTTGTCAGGTATGTGTGGATCTTGCTTTCCTTTTACAAGAAATATGATGCAAATGGCAAATGTATGAGAGTTTATTTATTTTTCTATTTTTCTAACATAAGCTCAGATAATTTTAAATCAGTATAAGCTGATGTGCAGGTAAGCATGAGGAATATGTTGTACTTGTAAAAGAAGCTAAGCAAATAAAAGTTTGATATGAAACAATCCTTTGATTTCATAAGAAAGAATTGTAACAGACTGCCAAATTAGAACCTTGGGTGGTTATGTTTTTTTTTTTTGGAAAGTGTGGTTATGGGTTTATGGTGTATGGTTAAAAGAATAGGGACCGAGTTACGAGTTGTGTTTACTATAACTGCTTTGTGTATATTGCTTTTGGTTTATCTTTCTCACCTTTTAAAAATAAAACCAGAAATTATGCGTTATTTGTTTAGAGCGCTGAAAGATGGAAAAGTTTAGGAAAGGACGCTGGTCTCCACAATTTTGAGCTACATGCTTTCCGTGCTGCTTTCCAAATGGTACAGGATACTTGATTTTATTGTTGGGTTTCGTTATTTTGCTTGCACAATGTCAACTAGTTATTCTAATTCTTAGAACCTTCAAAAGGTTTTGCATAAATATCTCCCTGAAGTTGGAACAAGTCCTTCAATTGAGCGCCAAGGGAAGGCATTGCGCCGTAAGCGGCAAAGGAAGATAATTGAGTCTGAACTGCGTGCTGAAGAAAGTACTTATTCTGATTTGCCTCGGAGGGCTTGTAATAGGGCTTGTTCTTTCATGTACTTAATGTCTAATTAAGTTTTAGGACAACTAGTTTGTGGAACTTTTGATGACCTTCCACTCCATCCTTTTTTTTTCTCTTCATCGCTTGGTCATGGTAATTACCTAGTGAAGATCCTGCTTGGAAAGATTGTGGGAAAAATTTCTTTTCGCATGTATTAGATTGGTTTGGAAATTTGAATTACTTATAAGATACTGCAACTTTTCTTTGCTGCAGCTGACCCGTCAGGTGTAAGGTTGGACATGGATACCTTATTCAATAAGTATTCACTTTTTGAGAAATTTTGCCAGTCTGGATTATTTCGTCTTGGGCTTAAACCATCGAATGATATGAGTTTCCATGACATTTGGAAGGAAGTTGAACCCTATGTTGTACGTCTCTCCATCTACTTATCACTGTTGGAGTATGTCTGAATTTTAGCGTATCATTACAAATAGTAGGTTCTTCGTTAATATACGGTCTTTAGAGATTTAGAAGTGATTGGTGCGTCTTTCATCTATTAGTTATCAGCATGGCCACTATAGAAATGCATATTTCATGAGATTTTGGAAGTTGTTAATTGTTTGATAATTGGGGATGCAGAACCTTACTGGAGTATACTGGTCACTTCGTGCTGCTTTCAGGCCTGTGTTGGAAACTCTTATTCTTCTGGATAGATTATTGTTCCTCCAGGAGCAAGGTGGTAAGCCGGAAGCAGTAATGTTACCCATTTTTGATCCAGCAATATCCCCGAGGAATGTCGCCATCATCGCCAGAAAGCTTGATGCAGGTGTGGCTTCATGACATGGCTCAACATAAAGTTTCTTATTTCCACCAGCCGGTGGAGTTCAGACTTAATTTAAAGGAAAAACTCTGCTGGTTTATGGCCTAATTATTTCCAACAAAAAAGGTCTTTGTTTACAGTTTTGGCTTTGCTTAGTCAGTTCGTTGTCCTTTTTTACAATGTGTCATTGCCTATGGACAAAATGAAAGAAATTATTTGGGTAAATTACACTAATGTTTGAATAAGCCTATGGACAAAATGAAAGAAATTATTTGGGTAAATTACACTAATGTTTGAATAAGTTTTCGTTTTCTCCACTAAAATTTCAAAAGTAACAAATTAGTCACTAGCGTAATCTATTTACAACAAAACGCCGTTATTGTAGTGATAGAATGCTGATGTGGCACGCTCAAAATTTACCTTTTCTATTCCCTCTTTACTCTCTCCATGTCTTACTTTTCTCTCTAAAAATCACTGCATGAATGGTTACACTAACATCTTTAGTCTCTAAACTCGAAGATATGTTTCCCTCTTCACATTACTGATGTTTGAGTAAGGATACATCATCAGCCATGAGAAGTTCAGTCTTCATGTTTTGTAGCTCAGTCACCATTGATTCTAACTTCAAGTAAAGAGTCATTGTCGTATTTATTGCTTCCAGCTTTTTTTAGGGAAGCCTTCAAACCTTGCGAGAACCTGCACTACAAATTGCAAATGTTTGGAGGTCGACCAACGATTCATATGGCAATAGATTCATCGGTATGTAGGACGATAAAACTAGAAACAAGAGAAATTAACCTGACTTTCATCTATTAATGCCACTTTTCATGGTTCTACTTAGATTGGAAGAAGGGAGAAGCATGGAGAGCGATTCCTTAGTCAAACATCAGTAACGTGAAGGGAGAAAGCATATCTTCAATGAGTCTAGAGACGGAAGAAATAAGTGTGTAACCATTCATACCGTGATTTTAGAGAGAAGTAAGAGTGAAAAGAAAAGATGAGTTTTGAGTAACCAACATGGTCAAATGATGCCAAACAAGTCAATTAACGATTCACATTAGCATTCTGTTACTGCAATAACCGGTATTAACGACGAGTGTATTAACGACGAGTGAACAATTTGTTATAAATCGATAACGTTAGTGACCAATTTGTTAATCTTAAAACTTTAATGACGAAAACGAAAACTTACTCAAACATTAGTGACTATTTGTGTAGTTTACCCAAATTATTTTTGCTTCTAGCTATGATTAAACTCGAGCCTCTTATATGAGGCAAGACACTCGACCATTAAGCTAAGCTAATAATTTAGGTTAATTTCACCAAGTCGCAATCTGTCTTTCCGGGGGAGCCGACTAGTTATGATGATGTTTTTTTTGAAAAGATTAAGTTTTTGATGAAAAGTTTGGAGTCGCCATAATCATTTTTATGATACGATTAGAACACCTAAAATTAACTAATTTTAATAAAATATTTTATTTTATCAAAAATATCAAATTTAGTCTGCGAAAATCAAAAAACAGATTCGGGGGTCAATTATACGTGAAAATGAATTAGCACCCATAGCGCCCAAAAATTGGTGATTACCCTATTTTTAAAATTTAGTTATAGGTTTTATTTAATTTAAAAAATCATTATGTATGCAAAATTTGGAAGAGAACATCGATTTACTAAGACCAATAACAACCACCCTCAGGCATGTAATGCGAAAACTTCTTCATTGATCCTAGTAAACAAACATTATCTTGAAGTTTAAGAAATCATGATACGAGGTTTCAAAAAGGATGTTGATTTACTTCGAGAATTACCAATGATCACCCCCTCAGCATAACACAGAAGATACACTATTAATTCCTTGATCAATGAACAATGCCTTATTATTTTTAAAATCAAAATGCAATCAAACAACTGTTTATGAACCTAATTATACTAGGTGAATTAATTAAGAAAATCCCTAACTTAGAGAGTCAAATTATGAAATTTAGAGAATTTAGAGGACTAAACCTAAAAATGAAAGTTCTAATATTAATCCTAATTGGTTTTAACGAATAATTGAATCGAATAGTCAAAATGGACCCTCAAGCATTAAGCGAGGACCACAATGAATATTCCTTAAATTAAAGGACTAAAAGTGAAATTAGCCTAAACGGGAGGATCTAATATTTACCCTAATTGATTTTAATCAATTATTGAATCGAATAATCGAAATGGACCCTCGAGCATTAAGGTAAGGGACAAATCAAATATTCTTTAAATTAAAGAACTAAAAGTGAAATTAAACCTAAAGTGAAGACTCTGATACTTAATCCTAATTGATTTTATCCAATATTGAATCGAATAATCGAAATATACCCTGGATAATTAAGGCGATGACTAAATCAAATACTCCCTAATATAAAAAGTTCAGGGACTAAATCTTAAAGAAGTCTAAATTTAAAGATTTAATCTAAAATCAAGTAACATAGTACTAAATTAAACAAACTTGAAATCATAAACTAAAATAAAATAAGAACTTTCCAAACTTATGAAACAAGTAAATGACAAAAAAGCTGAAGATAAATAAACAAATAACAAATGCAAAGAAATAAAAAAAAAGGTTAGCAGACATAAAGAAGAATTAAAATTAAACTAAATTAAAGTTAACAAAATATAAGATAAACACTAAATGGGAAACATGAATCAATCAAATCTTAAAAAAAAAAAACTTAAATGGAAACCAAATTAAAGATAGGAATTAAAATTATGACGGGTGAACGGTCAAACTAAGGGGACATGTGAAAAAACATAAGGAAAACAAAATCAATTAATTTTAAACGACAGCAAATTACGAATGTTAGACATGTAATTATCACGAATCTATTCAAGGTATGTATCCTATAATATGACTTTAACGTGGGAAATGATTACGTACGGTATTTTTAATATACGGTTAAAAAATATGTTATCGATTTTTTTATCATTTAAATAATAAAATCTGTAAAATATTATTGGAACCATTATTATTTTTATCGATTTTATTATTTTTTCTATCAATTTTGTTATTGTTTGACACTTTATAAGAAATAATAAAAAATATTTATGTTTTAGATGAAAATAATAATATTTTAAATAATTTTTTATCGATTTTATTATTTAAATAATAATAAAATAGATAATTTTTTTCAATTGTATATTAATAATATGCAACTTATTCCATTTCAGGAAAACCGAACCCTAAGTCTAAAAACATAGCCGCCTCCTATTTTGAGGAAACTCTCAACTTTCTTCCTTTCTCGGTCGAACCTAACAGACCTCCTCAACGCCGTCGACCACCACCAACACATCAAAACCTACCCCGATCAAACCAAAACTCTCCGATTCTAACCCTAACCTCTGAATTAGAATTTAAAACCCCAAACAAAGCTTTCAGCATCCTAATACCTAACCTCCGACCACCACCAGCGATGGTCGGGAACCTTAAACGACCAATTAACGAAGCCCAAAAGTCCCCATTTCTTCTGCTCCTCTATTTTTCTTTGAATGAGACACCTTAGAGAAACCATCACCTTCACGGATTGGGTCGAATCCGGCCCTGGGCCACCACTAGTAGTGGCCAATCGAAGCAAAACTCAAGTTCGTCTCCTAAACCTTCTCCTATGCTATTCTGGAAATCTCGAAACGCAGCCCTAAATAACCATGCAAAACTCCCAATCTCTTTCCCCAACGAACCCAGTTCCAACGAGGAACTCCAATAATCCCTCAAGATTCGATCTACAAATAAGGTAAAACAGATCCCTCATCTTTTCCTCTTTTGTTCTCTCTATCAACACATGCACACTCATAAAACACTAAAAAATGAAAAATAACTAAGCAAGAAAATACCTCAACGAAATGAAAAGATAATTTTGTATTGCTTTTTAATGGAGGGAGAGATCCCATTTACAAGTGTTAGTGGGTTTATATAATACCTAGTTATAGAGAAAAAATGAAAAGCAAAATCGTTTTGCAATTTTGTCTGATTGTGTGTGATTGCCGAGGGTGTGGGGATTCTGTCATTCTCAATTTTATAGAGGAGGCGTTCATTCGGCTAACTTGGAAGTGGTCTAGTGACCACGCGAGGAAAGCACGAACGGTTGGAGTGATGGGGACAAATGGTGAGTGCGTGAGAGTCCCAAAAGCTACCGCGTGTGTTCGGGTAAAACTAATCGAAGATACTATTTTTTTCTCCATTTTCTAATATTATTATTTATTATTATTATTATTAAAATTATTATTACAAACAGGTCAAGTCTGGCCCATTCCAGACAGGCCCAAATACATCAAAACATAAAGCCCAACAGTGACCCAAAAATGGTGGCCCAGACCTAAAGGCCCAAATATGTAACCCTAAACTCGTTTACGGTTTGTATCTCAGCCCCAGCCGCCATCAGCTATCCACCGTTGGATCTTGCATGATCCAACGGTCCATACGCGTCCAGATGATACCAACAGCAAACCCTAGGGTTATGATACCCTAGGGTCACGACGCCGGCCGCCTCTCTGACACCTCCATCAACCGCTGCCACTCTTCAACAGAAACATCCAGAGGAAGCAAGGAACGCCGTCCACGTTTCAACCATGGGTGAGTCACCACCTACGGTTTAGTGACTCACCGAACTCCACCCTTGGGACCAGTCCGAAGCAAGCTCCGTGGTGGCCTATAAAACCACCACTGAACTTGGAAAGAAAAACAGAGGCAACCAACAGAGAGCAAAAAAAAAAAAAAAAAACAAAAACAGAAAACAAAGAAAGAAGAAAGAAACTTACCCTTGGAGCCTTGACCATCGCCGGAAGCACTAAACATCGCCGGAGAACAGAAAATACCGAAGGTATTTTCATAGATCTACTCCGATTAAAAGTCTTTTTGGGGAAACAAAGGTCGGAATCGACCTTGGGGAAATTAGGGCTGTATTTTAGAGTAAAAAATTTTCCCGACCAGCGGCGGTATACAGCTGCCGGCCGATGACCGGCTTCCCTCCGGTGAGGGAAGCTAGAGAGAAGCCAGAGAATTTAA